TATAACATAAAAATTGATCTTCTGAAGATCTTTTGTTTTGTTGATTTCCCTCTTTTCTATTGCACCTAGCCCATATAATCAAGGCAGTGATCGTATTTGACAAAATTGGACCATTGGATTCGATGTCCAATCAATGTTCAATTATGGTTTTAGGGTCCAATCAATGTTCAATTATGATTATAGGGTCCAATCAATTGGACTTTGAACATCCAAATTATTGAATTTTGGACGTCCAATATCCAATTCAATAACCAATCAAAACTATTGGATTATGGCACTATTGGATATAACAACACTGAATCAATGTCTCACGAGTGAATCCATAAAGTAGTGAAGAAAAAAATATATGCAATGATAGGAGATCAAATGTTTATAACTGATACGTCAATTTATAAACGACATAAATTAAAAAATGACACGTAGCATATACACTATTCTGCTTACCGTGTACTTCCGAAATTAAGCACCCCCTCGGAGCAATTTTTATAGCCAAAGTTCTTGATCTAATAATCGGATCTGCGTAATTTTGGACCGTTCGAATCGTTTTGGCAAGATAGTACCAAAATTACGTAGATCCGATTATTAGGTCACAAGAATTTTGGCTATAAAATTGCTCTGAGGGGTGCTTAATATTAATTTGGAAGTATACGGTATTTAAGATACATTGACTAGTCATACTGTGCCTGTTATATCAATGATGACAACAAGTCTTCGTGGACTAAACAATGTTAATAAAATACAGAAATATGTAAAATGTTCTGGAAAAGCACCATGACTTTTATTCATTCAAGTAAAAAGCATAAACTAAGAACTGATAGTAGAACCTAAGAACGGAACTAAATTCTTAATGATTCTTCAAAGGAATTTTAGGAAATGCTTTTTATACTGATTTTAGATGAAGTCAAAACATCCATATTCCTCAAGAAATCGTTTTCATTTATAAAGTCATTACTAGTCCTAGCTATGTATACAAATAATTTTAATTTAGGCGGGACCAATTTTATTCGGTGATTTACATTACCCCCTCTTTTGACTCTTAGTAAAAAAAATTTTGGATTATTGTCCAGAGCGTAGCGGAGGACTTTCTATATTTACGTAAGGTGATACAAAAGTTCCATTTTTGATGCATCAATAATAGTAATATCAAAAATGTAACTACCGAATTTGGTGTCTGTCCGAATACGTATAACAGTTACGTTTTTGATACATCACATTGTTTTGATTTGTGTTGCATCAAAAAAATGAAATTAGATTTTAGTCATTACTG